TTTCCCAACAAGATTTCTAGCTGTCCATTATTTTCACGTTCTTCCCGAGAGAACGCATTACTTTAATTATAGATACAATTTGCTGTATACCAATGTTTTTAAATCCCATCGAAAACATTGAATCAGACTATTTCCTCGGTTACTAGGTCACTGATTCGACCGTAGACGAATTTTGGATCAATAGTTTAATTAGTTTTAAATATAATTTTTTATATATATATCAAAATGTAACAAATTAGAAATTAGATATAAAACAATATTAAAAAATAGTAAATATATAAATGTCTAATATGAATAATATGAAAAATATAATTAATTTTAAATTTAAAATAAACCAAAAGGTAAATATCAAAAAGATTCTAATAACATGTCAACAGTAAAAGTAAACTAAATAAATAAACAAATGATTATATTCTTTTTACAAACGAAAATTGTAATAACCATATATGAATCGTTGATACTCAAATCCGTTTCTCTTTTAATATGCATTCTCTCAAATATTGATCTACAATGGTGATAACTAGGTGAAAATTTGTTTGACAAAAAGATTGTATAGTTAAATTTTTGTAAACTTGGAGCATCATATCCACAATATCTCCACCATTTATCTAAACATTCATGATATATGTTAGAAAACTTTAAATACAGTAATTTAAGTAAAATCAGGTTACATATCATGTCACCCATTGATTAAACCGATAACCGAATCACGAGTTATAATTTTTATCAAGTTTTAAATAATGATTTTTTTTTTGAAACTCAAACCTGATTATATGCTAGATCACTAAGTTTTCCGGTTCAATCGCGAGTTCGGATCAAGTTCAAAACACTATTTTATACCCATATATTGGTCAAAATTAGCCAAGTGCACATAGATAACACAACATTACTCTCAGCCATTAGTCAACTTTTCTGAAGTATTTCACATATTCATATAATGACCAGTCTAACAGTTTTTTCTGAAAAATTGACACTTTTTTAGACTAACAGTTCTGAGTATTTAAGAAGGAATTCTTTCCATGGACTTTTCAATATATATATATATATATATATATATATATATATATTATGTATAATGAGTAGTATCTTAAAAGCAAGGGAAACTCAATCTAAATTTTTTTAATGAGATATTTGGGGTTGAGTGTTTTGTAATTCTAAAATACTCACAATTAAATACTATTCCCTCTGTTTTATTTTAAATATCGTTGAACGAAAAATATTTTGTCACAAAATGAATATCGTTTAAAATTTCAAGGAAATTTATGTCATTAACTTACCTCTTTTACCCTTACATTTATTCAAAAAAAATAATGTAATTTTAATAGTTAAATAAGGATTAAATTGAACATTTTACAATTTTCTTACTTAGCGTAAGAAAATATAGAGCGGCATCTAATTTAAAAGGGATAGAGTAATATTTATATATACACACACACACACACACACATATATATATATATATATATATATAGAGAGAGAGAGAGAGAGAGAGAGAGAGAGAGAGAGAGAGAGAGAAATCCATGGAAAGAACTCCTTACTAGCGTTTCTCGAATAAATGTAGAATTTGAAGTATTTAATTGGTGAGACATTTAGGGAGTATTTCAATAATATTATATATCATAAATATTTTGATATATTTAAGTTATAAAATTAAAAAGTTTTTATGAAAAATAGTATTAAGAAGACATGTGTTAAGAGTACTGAGAAAAAAATTCAAAATTTTTTAAATGAAAAGCATATCTCCATCTTTTTATCATGAAAAATCTTTGCAATTAGATGTTTTGTCCGTCCACATGGGTGTATACTAATATTTATTAATACATACATTACTAACTAAAAGACTATAATGATAAATTATTATTTATGATTTCGTTTGAATTGTTTTACTTATTATAAATTTTTGCAAAGTTTCTTTGCACACTATATTTATTATATAGAAATAAATCTTAAAATTCACTCAATATTCTCTTTTCAATTATATAAAATTAAGAATATTACCTGATTATTTTTTAGTTATGTCTTTTATGTTTTTTTTTTTAATTTTAAACTTTTATTAAAGATTTTGTTTTTTAGATATTAACACAATATATATAGGAATTATCTTTTATTTCAAAATATATTTTTAGATTTTGAATAATATTATTTTTTATTTTTAATAATTTATCTAATGAAAAAATTTAAATCCATTTTTATTTTGTGGCTGATATATATATATTTATTATTCGTTAATGATATAAATGATATTAACCACTATAATTTTTAATGTGAAAGCCCAAATGCGAAAAATCACTTCGCAAATGATTTAATTATTAGTATCTTAAAATCATGGAAAAACCAATCTAAAATATCTTAAATGGGATATTTGGGGTTGTTTTCTGTAATTTTAAAATACTCACAGTTAAATCCATGAAACTCCCTACTGGGAGTTCTCTAATAAATGTAGAATTTGAAGTATTTTCATTGGTGAGACATTTATGGAGTATTTCATTAACATTATATATTATAAATATTTTGATATAATTAAGTTATATAACAAAATTATAAATATTTTGATATATTTATGTTATATAACTAAAAGTTTTTTTTTAATAAAAATTTAGTTATAAGAAGAGATGTGTTAAAAGTATTCAGAAAATGATCAAAAGATTTTGAATGCAAAACATATCTCCATCTTTTTACCATGAAACATATATGTAACTAGGTGTTTTTTCCGCGCATACTGCGTATATATTTTATAACTGTTTATTAATGCATGCATTACTAACTAAAATACTATAATAATAAATTATGGTTTATGTTTTAATTTGAAATTTTTTACTTTCATAAATTTTGTTTTTGTACACCATATTAATTAATTAATAACTAAATCTTTTAAATCACTTAGTATTCTCTTTTCAATTATCTAAAATTAAGAATATTACTTGATTAATATTTAGTTATGAGTTCTGTTTTTGATTTTTAAACTTTTTATTAAAACAATTTGTAGGACAACAACACAATATAGATATTTAAATATATTTTATATTATTGATAATTCTTATTATTATGAATTTTAATCATTTATCTAATCAAATAATTTTTAAATTCTTTTTACCTTTTTCCTGATATATATATATATATATATATATATATATTTATTTATTTATTTATTTATTCATCAATGGTATAAACGATAGTAAACATTGTTTTAACATGAGAACTCAAATACGAAAATAACTTGGCAAAGAATAATATAATAACTACTCGGTAATATTTGTTATTTACGCAGAACATGATTATTAGTTTTTTATTTTTTAATAAAGAGACATTAAATCTGTTTAATCTGGATATCAGTTTGGTTTTAGTTTTTTTTTAATCTCTTAAAATTTAACTCCCATTCTAAATTAATATTTTTTTTGGTTTGTTCGGTTGAATGTTTGATTTTTATAACCAAAAAATATTATTATTTGTTTGGTTTTATTTTATATGAATATTAGATATTTTTAAAGTCGAACTAATGGTTTCATATATAGTACAAATAATAGTTGAAGAAAAAGAAAAGAATATTATTAAGACAAATCATTTCATTACAATAAAATTCAACTTCCAACAGAATTAGATACTTCACTTGTGGTGAATATTTAGTTGTATACGTACTCACTTCAATGTGCGCATGTATGTGTATGTAAAAATATATAAAGGTGATTGATAAATATATAAAGATACTACTAATTCATATTAAAAGATATTTTTGTTCAAACTAACACATGAAAGATAAAATTCTTCAAATAAAATTAATTAAAATAGACCTAGACATTAGTGAATTTTTTCATATAAAGAAAATCAAATTGTATCTGTATACAATAATTTTTATATATATATATATATATAATTGGGTTTGTTGCATTTCTTTTATTAATGTGTTGTATCTTGGCCCAATTGTTTTTAACATTAATTATTAATGGTAAAAAATACTTTACAGTTGGGTCTGATAAAAAGAAAAACCTAAGATTCTAACACGTTACACACATTCGTAACAAAAATATATTTATGTACTTACCATCAACAACCGATGATTGAAAGGGGTTTAGGGTTTTGTTTGCAAAATTCTACCTCTTCACTCGATCCTATCGAATCCATCACCTAAAGTTCCTTCTATTTCTCTATATTTTTTTTCACTTGATCCTTTCTTCTTGAAACTGTATGTGAGTTTAATATTGATAAAAACACAGAAGTATATTGTATAAACGAGTTAAAAAGGTTGATGAAGGAGAAGACATGTTAATTAGTTTCTTGTAAATGTGTTTTAGTTTATGTACAAAAATTTTTGGTTTCTTGTAAATTGTTTTTCTATGTGAAAGTTTTGTATAACTTTTAGGATCTTGTATGTGCATGTTTGAAAGAACGTAGAGTATATAGTGTGACATATTTTTTTAGAGTTTGGTTGAAAATTTCTCTAAAACGTCAGCGTACTCATTCTCAAATAGTTGTGAAACTATGATGTATTCTCTCCGTTTCAAATTAATTGTCGTTCTGGAGGAAAAAGTTCGTTTCAAAATAAGTGTCATTTTAGAATTTCGAGATAAAATTTATTAGTTTTATATAATATTCTATTTTTCTATTGGTTGAAAAGTGGTTAGGTGTATAGGTAATTGTATTTTTTCTTAAAAATATGTAAAATTAAATGTTTTCTTAATCCGTGTGCAAAAACGTAGAATAACAATTAAAATGAAATGGAAGGAGTATTAGTTATAGTGTGATCATATTTATTATAATGTTTCTTTGTTAATATATAGAGATAGTGTTAATGGAGGTATTCCCCTAGACATGCACGTTCTTGTCGAAGTTAATGACTCATAGCTGTCAGTTTATTGGATGAAAATAATACTCTTTATTAAGCTAATCACGAGATTCTTTTATTAAGCTGAACACGAGATTGTTTCATCTTCAAACTCTTTAACAAGACATGCCTCATTCGCTTCGAGCAACAATGACAGCGATTATCAGCAGTGACTTTCCAGATTGTTTAATCTTCATCTTCCTCTTTTTCTTTTCAATCCTTTGTTATTCTCTTTTCTTTAAGAAAACGAAGGACACACGAGTTGGTTGTGATCTGCCTCCGAGCCCTCCGTCTCTTCCAGTCATTGGTCATCTTCATCTTCTTCTCTCTACTCTAGTTCACAAGTCTTTACAGAAAATCTCTTCCAACTATGGACCTTTCGTCCACCTCCGAATCTTTAATACACCCATCATTCTCGTCTCCTCAGCCTCTGTGGCCTATGAGATCTTCAGAGCTCATGACGTGAACGTCTCCTCTCGCGGTGCTCCTGCCATAGATGAGTCCCTCTTGTTTGGATCATCTGGCGTGATCAACGCTCCTTGTAACGATTACTGGAAGTTCATGAAAAAGCTAATGGTCACAAAGCTTCTTGGACCACAAGCACAAGAGAAGTCACGTGGCATCCGTGCAGATGAGATAAAACGTTTTTACATGAAGTTGCTTGATAAGGCGAGGAAGAAGGAGAGTTTTGAGTTGGGTAAGGAAGCAATGAAGCTTGTTAATAATATCATGTGTAGGATGAGCATGGGAAGGAGATTTTCTGAGGAGGATGGTGAAGTGGAGAGATTTAAGGGTTTGGTTACCGAGTGGAGCGGTTTGATAAAGAGAATGTTCTTGGCAGTCATGTTCCGTAGACAACTAGAGAAGCTTGGAATGTCACTATTCAAGAATGAAATAATGAGGGTTTCCAACAGATGTGATGAAATACTAGAAAGGGTTCTAGTGGAACACAAAGAGGAACCAGACAAGGATCAAGGAACAGATATGATGGATGTGTTGTTGGCAGCTAATGGAGACAAAAATGCTGAGTACAAGATCACTAGGAACCACATCAAGGCGTTTTTTGTGGTAAATATATTGAGAATCATGTCAATAAATTTTAAGAGTTTCAGAATAAGAAACATGTTTTCATTGGCAGGAGCTTTTGTTTGGAGCCATTGACACCTCATCAACAACAATACTGTGGACAATGGCTGAGATTATCAACAACCCCAACGTCCTTGAGAAACTGAGAAAAGAACTCGATTCCGTTGTAGGGAAAACAAGGTTAATTCAAGAAACAGATATACCAAACCTCCCTTACTTGCAAGCGGTGGTCAAGGAAACATTAAGGTTGCACCCTCCTGGGCCTCTCTTGCCAAGAGAATTTCAAAAGGAATGTGAGATCGGAGGGTTCTATATACCGGAGAAGACAAGACTTGTGGTTAATGTTTATGATATAATGAGAGATCCTGATCTTTGGGAAGATCCTCTTATATTTATGCCAGAGAGGTTTCTAGCTTCTTCAAAATCAGGTCAAGAAGATGAGAGAAAAGAGAAAGTACTAAAGTATCTTCCTTTTGGTAGCGGAAGGAGAGGATGTCCTGGCTCAGCTCTAGGTTATATCTTAGTGGGAACTGCAATAGGAGTTATAGTGCATGGATTTAAGTGGAGAACCAATGGAGATAAAGTCAATATGGAAGAGGTTATGGAAGGGGTCATTCTAACCATGGCTCATCCTCTTAAGTTCACTCCCGTTACTCGATATGTACCCTTGTCTTAGAAATGAAACTGAATCCCCATATATAATTATAAGGGTCTAGCAGATCCTTAAAAGTAATAAAGAGTGCTTGTTGTTTTTGTTCACGTTCATGTTCTATTTGAAATGGATGGAAACATCCAAAACCACAATTCTCACAAAAAGAAAGATTAAGGGCATCTATGATTTGATACTGTTTTGGTTCCATACTGAAGAAATCACTCTACTAATCGAGATGCACCTTATCTTGATTCTATTGTTTGGAAAGAAACTAAGTAGTAAAAGAGTTTTTAAGAAATACTCTATTAAATGTCTCTTTTTTTTTTTTAAACACTGGTTTGTTATTAATAAATGTAATGGACGTACTACAAAGAGGCCAAGCATTGCCTAATAAAAGAAAACAAAGGAAACATCCCTGAAGACCAGAAGGTAACAGAGAGAAAGAAGCGGGAAAGAAAATAGAAATTAGGAGAGGTCCTACAGCTGTCCTATGGCGTCAGCATGTAAGACTGAGGAGAGCCAAGACGGACCATGCTGGGTACCGTACGACTGTGAGCGATTATTTCTCAGAACCGAAAGAGCAATTTCAGAAGATGCTCTGTTTTCCATAGGGGAGACAACTCGGAAGCACCAAAATTCCAAATGCAGAAGCATGTTGTGGAGGTCAGTGTAGAGGCTGTGGTGTTGCGGATATTTCTCAGGTGAGGATAAAGCATTTCGCAAGGCGTTAGAGGAGAATTCAATGATGACGCGTTTCTTGCGGAGGTTCATCATGCTTTCAATGGCCCAATGGAGACTAAGGAGTCCAGCGTGGATTTCTGATTCGGGTTTAGAGTACGCCCTTCTGCTATGGAGCAGCGTTTCCCCATAGTGGTTACGCAGAATCCAAGAAGCTCCTCCATCCAGTGGCGGAGGCAAGGCAGTGGCATGGTGGTCAAGTGACCCATGTGAAATTTAGAAAAATAATGTAATTTTTATCAAATATTTTAAATTGACCCTTGTCCATTTTTACTATTGACCCCCATTAATCCAATTCAACTCATTCAGTTAATCCAATTCAACTCATTCAGCCCAAAGCATACTATAAAAAATTACTAGCCCAATAAAATATATGAAAATTAGAAATAAAAGATTACTAGCCCAATAAAATATATTAGGTGTTTTGTACGCACATGCGGGCTTAATTATCTTTAATTCAATTTAAAAATAATCAAAATAAATGGTTATTTGCATCCAAAAAATTCGATCTAAAACATTAAACTTTTTTACATGATAAAGTTATTCACAAATTAAAAAATCATTTTTTTCTTTAAACTTTGAAAATAATTACGTATTCTAATTTTTTAATTTTCTATTTTCAATTATATACAATTAAAAATTTTACTTTATAAATATTTATTTATGTGTTTTATGTTTTTGAATTTTTTGACTAAATATATTTTTTGGATAACAACAATATATATAGAAATTATCTTTTTTATTTTTAAATAAATATTTAGATTATGGATAAATCTTATCATTGTTAGAAATTTAAATCATTTATCTAATCAAATAAATATTAAATTCATTTTTATTATTGGATGATTTATATATTTATTCATTAAAGATATAAATGATATTAACCACATGAAGAAATTTTGTTTTATGCATTTTTACAAATAATTTTTTTCTATGACCCAAGTCCATATCTTTTTTGGCTCCGCCACTGCCTCCATCCGATTGCCAATTAATCCATGAGAAGGCTACATTGCATTTGAGGGTCCCTTTTTTAATGAATTGAAAGTTCTGAATCCGAAAACCTTTATCTTTTTTTTTTTTTGATTAAAAAACCTTTGTATATCTCTACTGAGAATCTAAACCACATTAAATCAATTCTTCGTAGGAGAATAGACCCCTCCCAACAAAAGCTCTATTACATACTTGCAGTAATAGTGGCGTAAATTGTTATTTTATGTCTTTCACAAACATAAACTCTTTCATTCTCAAACATCTATCACATCACATCATTCTACAGGGAATACATTATAAGAGTAAAGTAACATTCATAATCTTTATAAATTGAGTCACTCTTAATTTTTTCTCTCTTTTATTTTTTTCTGATAATCTCTTTTGTTTATATCGATAATGATCCAAATAACTAAACAATGCATGTGACAGTAGGGTGAGACGGATCCGAATATCCGTAAAATTTTGAAGTATCCGGATCCGTATTCGTCTGATCCGTGATTATTCAGATTCGTATCTTCCGGATATCCAAACTCCAAATATCCTCTAGATATTGTGATATCTGCCGGTATTGGGATTCGAATTTGGATCCGTAAAAGTAATTATTAAAAAAAATAAAAATAAAAAATTCTAAAAATAATACATAAACAAAATATTTATGAATATATATATGACATATAATATTATTAATATAAAAGTAGAATATTATTAAACTTATTTTAAGTATAACTATTAATATATCAGATATAATTAATAAAAAATAATATATTTTTTAAAATACAGATCCGAATTCGGATGAAAAAATTAAGATATCCGGATCCGGATTCGGTTTGCATGGATCCGAGATTTACTATCACCCCCGGATATCTTAATTTCGGAACATATCCGTAGCGGATCTCGTATCGAATCTGGATCTCGGATAAAAGTCTCAGCCCTAAATATCAGATGCCTATATATAAATATAACATGGACTTGACAATGAAGTTTCAAGACTTCAATTTGCTTAAAACATATGGCACAAAGGATCCGGATCCGGATTCGGTTTGCATGGATCCGAGATTTACTATCACCCCCGAATATCTTAATTTCGGAACATATCCGTAGCGGATCTCGTATCGAATCTGGATCTCGGATAAAAGTCTCAGCCCTAAATATCAGATGCCTATATATAAATATAACATGGACTTGACAATGAAGTTTCAAGACTTCAATTTGCTTAAAACATATGGCACAAAGGATACCTTATGTGCGTCAGGGTAGAAAGTTTTAGTTTCGTGTGAAACATATTAGGCACACTATAGTTCCAATATAACTATTTTGCTTAATCTGCTACAATATACTATATATTTTATGCCCGAGATGTTCCGGTGTGATTACATCACTTACATGCTTTGGAGGTTCAATGATAGAAAGTTTCGGTGAGGTTCCTACTAATTTTGTTTGGTGTCTAATGACGTCTTCTCCTATATCTTTTTTGTTTTATCTTTTTGTATTATCTTTTTTGTATCCTCTTGAACGCTTCAATTTAATAGTGTTAAAAAAAAGTTATATTCCATCTTCTTAATCAACCGATGGTAATCTGCTAAAAAAAATATTCCGTCCGGTTTAATTAGATGATGTATTCAAAGAAAAGAATTATATTTAATCTATTGGCCAATAAGGTAAACCTTGATTTACTGACCACACGGATATGAGTTATTGTTTTCGACCTATTTGAATACTTAAGAGAGAGTTTATCCATGCACTATATCTCCATTTAGGAGTTAGATCTGTATTTTTATTAGACTCGAATTTAATTTTTTTCTCAAAAATAAAAAATTGTTATAATATAATTGTCATTTTACAGATATCAAGGCAAATTATAGTGACAAAACACCATGTTTCTCCTATATTTAATCTATTCCTATAAGCTTTACGATACAACATGAACAACTAATGAAGGATAGAAATGATATCGTACGTACTGAGTGCTAGGGCTGGGCATTATTACTCGTTATTCGCCTTAAACTCGGTACTTGACTCGTACCCGCCTTGAAAATTCAAGTACTCGGTGTTGTCAAGGCAAGTAACAAGGCGATAATTTCCATTACTTGCAAGACTAAGTCAAGTATCAAGTATCATTATTATCTTTTGTACTTGACTCGTTCCGCCCCGTTACTTGTTCCATTACTTGCTATTTTTTACATGATCTATTAATTAGTTTTTCATATTTGTCTTTTCTTTTACTTGCATTTAGGACAAGACATAGATACTCACTACTCTTTTTATATTTGTTACTTATTTTGTATCCAATCTTGATCTTTGAATACTCGTCGTTATCTAGTTAAGTATTACACAGTAACAAATATTAAAAATTTAGTTATATGATTTGTTATTACTTTTTACTTATTTAGAGAATATATTCTTGTTATCGTGATCACTATACAATGTTTATATACCGTAATATGCATTTTTTAATTTTTTTAATATAAACAAATATTATGTTTAAAGTAATTTACATGTTACTTTAAGTAGAATAAACAAAACAAACTTTCATGTCTATTTCTAACATAATATTATTTAGTTCGTAGTTCTTAAATATTCCGTAAAAGCTCGTAAATAGTTCATAAGTACTCGTAAATAGTAAGTAATAAAGCAAGGCAAGTAACTTGCAAGTCATTTATTTTTGATCAAGTACTCGAAATAGCAAGTACTCGTTTTAAACAAGTCAAGTACAAGTCGAAAATTTTATTATTCGTATAAGGCAAGTCAAGTCGCAAGTACATGCAAAATGACAAGTACTCGCCTTACGCCCACCCCTACTGAATGCATTAATTTGTGTGAAGATTAATATAAAGTCAAAGAAAAAAACAGAAGAAGTATTAAACAATTGTAGTTATTATGGCGTGTCCTATCTTTCTTCACAAATTTGCATTGAGGTAACCGATAACAAACAAAGCGATGAAGATATGATTCATTTCCTTCATTATCAATCAATTTCGGCTCTGATTGCAACGCTTTTTCAGAGCCGCACTTGCACATAGATTTTTTTGAATGGGTTTCCATCGTTAAAAGGCCCCACTTTTTTATATGTATGTTCAAGTATATGTTAATTAGGACTGGGCATTTTATCTGTTAAATTTGATTCGATTCGTTATTCGTTTCGATTCGATCCAAAAATTATGGATATCTGTAAACTTTCGTATCAAAGCAAATACTAAAAATCAATATTCGTTAAAATCGAAGCAAATCACAAATATTAAAATTTTGGGAAGCAGATATCCGATCCGATCCGGAAATATATAAATATATGTATATCA